CGGTAGGTCCTCGACCGGATCCATACCACTCAGTGGTTTACGCGCCACTCCGCGCTCGTCCTCACCAGGACGAACAGCAACCTCGTTGCTAACAAATTCCGACATACCAATGTCCAGCACCACGGCCGCCTCGGTCTCGTGCTCGCGCCAGTAGCGCTTCTGCTTCCTAGCAGAGGTGGGATCATGACTCACCAAGGCTCCACTAGGAGCAGGGTGCGTAGCACCGAGTGTTTTCGACTTCCAGTCGATCCATGGTTCATGGCGCTCCAGCCATGCCATGCCCAGGATGAGGTCATACCTCAAATCCAGCTCTAAGACCAAACAGCGTTCCACGCTATCGAAGTCTAAGAACTTCACATTAAGGTCAACCGAGACCTTCGACACCGTCACAAGTGTCCCCGTCGCAAGACGGACTGAGATTTCATCTCGCGTTTGCACTTCCAGTGCCACAGCATACAGCTGACTCCCATCCAGGGTGGATCGATGGGCATAATTGCCCGAGGCTCCCGAGTCAATCAAGCCTCTCCACGGCTTCGCAAAGCCCTTCACGTTCGCTTGAACGGCCAGAAAGCCCGGCTTGTGCACATTTTTCTCACAAGAGAGCCCAGCTCTCTTCGGGGCTGCGCCCCGTTATCCTCTACCTCCTCGAGGCACAACAGAACTCAGTTCTTCCCCAGTAGGCCGCCCCGCGCCTACTGGGAGTTGCCGTTTCCCGGCGATGACCTGAAGGGTTGGCTCGCCGGAGCCTGGCGCTTGAAGTGCAGAGGACAGCTCGCCCTCAAATGCTTGGTGCCTTTGCACATAAAGCATCGGCGGATGCTAGCACGCTGCTCCGCAGCAAGAAGCTCCGCTTCTTCATCTTTAGCATAGCTGAGGTCCATCGGTTCCGGACCGCTCGAAGAGCTCGCGCTACCAGCGCTCCAACCAGGTCGAGCCGACCTGAAGTTGTGTTCGGCATTCAATGCCACGTTCACCGCCTCCTCAAAGAGGTAGGGTGTACGCGGAATACTTCCGTTCGAGCTGCGCTCACGCGGAGTCCCTCCATGAATACGGTCACAGTGACCAGTTCCGGAAGAGGATCCGCCGCCATCCCGGCGATCAGAGTTCTCAACTCTTGGACATAGTCCAGTAATTCCTTCTTACCCTGGCGGGTAGCCAGGAATTTCGACCGAATACGGTACGCCTGATTAGGCGGCGCGAATACGCGCGACATTTGCTGCTTCAGCTGCTCCCAAGTGGGGAATGCAGTGTCTACTGACATACCGCACGTTAGTGCCCACTGGCGAGCGCGACCTCCATAGCCAGCGCGCCGCGCTGCTGCTCGGACTAGAGCAGGGCGGATCCCATGGCCATCTCGACCTCACGGGTCCAGAGAAGGAGAGTTTCTCCATCCTTCCCCTCGAAGGTTTTCACGCCCACCAAGAGCGGTTTCGGGCTAGCAGATCCTTCATGCGTCACCGACGCTGCCGCCGTTAGCAAGGAAATAGGCTCGTTAAGCGCTCCCTGCTGCGCCGGGGGCAAATCCTCGAACACTCGGTGTTACATCCCCGCAGAGCATACAGTCAGCCGACTCAGGTGCGGGATTGACTACAAGTACTACCAAGTGCAGCAGGGCTGCCATAGCTAAACGCCAGAGGAAGACGTACGACTCAACGAGTCCCTAAAACTAAGTTCCTTATCCGAAGAAAACTTACAGCCCAAGAACCAGGGCTCAAAGTTATAAAGAACACTAATAAATTTTATGCTTCAAAACCAGAAGTGCTTTATTTGTTTTTATTGCGGCCAAGCCGCTATCTATGTTTAACTATCTAGCATAGTTAAACCGAATCAAATGTATATCGTGTGGCCCTCAGTCTATGTACTGAAGCGACTGTTAACTCTACGAATCATGTACTGAGAGTCAGTTAACTCTTCGGGTACTCCGTACCCATGCGTGCGCCACACCCGTGTAACCCCGTTACAATTTTACCAACCTCAGCGGTTGAATGCGCGTTGGAATCTTCTAATTCAAGCCAGGACGGACTTGAAGCGTTGTAGTCGTTTGTTCTCATTTGTATATTATACTTCACAGATCTTGTATTGAAGCTGGTAGCGGAGCGACTGTACTCTCAGAGAACCTACACTGGAAGTGTGAACTATCAAGACGAGATATCGAGTACAATGTTGCGTTGGTTCTATTCAGACACTTGCTGAGGCGTTTCTCCCTAGCCAAGCACCAAGGAGCAGCGGTTAACATTTAAGATGATGCGTGGCTCCAAAGCCACGCATTGGAGGTTGGAGATCATCACAGTTTCCTTGGATTTAGAAACAGATTGAACAAATTTACGGAGTTAAAGGTAAATGAGCTAGCGCCGCACAGTTGATAGGAAAAGGCGATTGACCCAAGCATGAAAGCGATGGAGTAACCTGACATCTTGCCGGCGAACGGAGCACGCTTTAGTTCCTCCGTGGTGTAATCCACTATGGTCATGCTGTAGCATATCACCGTAAGTGATTAATATGACTCAAATTTTACTAAAACTAAACAGTACGTTTGGGTTAGATGGTCCGCCTCCTAATAAAAACCCAGCGATCTGGATCCTGTACCATCCTTATGGATAACCTATGGGATAGGCGATATATTTGTATTTAACCCACAAAGTACACGAAAAATAATATAAATACTACTTGCACTTAAATGCCGCACGAAGATGGGACCGCCCCCGACTGGGTCAACATTCTCGTGGGTGATTCAAAAACATTCAAGGTATAAATGATTATAGGTATATGGCAATCGCACGGTATCAATAGAGGCTTTTAGCAAATCCGAAATTTGTGTTTTTCCGGTTTGATCATATGCATTTTTGCCCTAATCGCTGACCTCAACAGGGAAGTTAAATCGAAACAACTTGTCCAAACCGGACGAAACAACCTGTAGTTACTGTTCTATTGCTAATAATTACGGTTTATATCAAGGACCTAATCTGCGAC